CCTAAAATAGGACTTAGTGTCCTACTGAGATTCCAAATCCTATAAGGTGAAGAAATCATATCTCTTTCATGATAGAGATTATCTCCCAAAATAGGACTTAGTGTCCTACTAAGATTACAACCCCTTGGGTTCACTATAAAAACAGAGACTTGCCCTCTCATTAGGGAGCAATCTCTCATAGTCAATCTACACTACTCAAAACCATCTATTTGGTCCTAAAGTTCTTGCTCCCAAGAACCCGACGCCTCCGCCGTAGTCCTAGCTTCCGACAAGACTCTTGGTAATTCTTCATCTCCTTAATTCTTATCAAATAATCTCTTTCAGCCTTGCTAACTTGAGCGTCGAAGTGCCTATAGCAAACACCACCCCAGTGTTTTCCGGAAGCTTCACACTTGCTCTTTCATGTGTGCAGGTCTAGCGGATTGTCAGTGGCCTCAACTCACGGGATCAGAACCTATTTTCAGAACCTATTTTCATGATGGTAGATTTTTTGCATCTACACAGCTTCAAAGCCGCCGTTTATGTTAACTCGTCAACACCCATCACTTATCTATAAAAAATGGCATCTTTTGGTTCTTCATTCAGTACTAGCTCTAGAACTCACATTCATGCTAGTTCAGTCACATCTGGTCATCACCTAAATCCAATTGATCCGAACGAAGTAGCTCATGAGTTTCGCTTCTTCAGAGTTTACAAAGATGGTCGGTTCGAGAAGTTTCGGTCCACCGAAAAGATCCCTCCGTCGAATGACCCGGTAACCCGGGTTTGAATTGAAGACGTTGAAATATCATCACAACCCGCTGTTTCAGCTTGTATTTTCTTGCCCAAGATCTGTGATTCGACCCGAAAATTCCCGGTTCTTTACAATGTCCACGGAGGTGGGTTCTGCTTCAAATCATCTTTCTCTCCAATTCATTCAAAGTACCTCACTTTGTTAACGGCTGAAGCAAACATAATCACTGTGTCGGTCAAATACGGGTTGTTCTTGGATTGACCCATACCTGCATGTTACGAGGACTCATGGGCCGAACTCTAGTGGGTGGCGAGTCATGTAAATGGGAATGGAGCCTAGTCATGGTTGAATGAGCATGTTGATTTTGGACGCATTTTTATAGGTGGAGAGAGTGTTGGAGGGAACATCTCGCACAATCTAGCTGCTCGGATTGGGACACTCGGGTTACCCGGAGTGAACATGGCGGGTATGGTTTTGGTGCATCAGTATTTTGGAAGGACAGACGATTATCAAATGTGGCTCTACATGTGTCCATCTAACGGGGGGTTGTAGGATCCTAGGCTGAAACCAAGTGTAGAAGATCTAGCAAGGCTTAGGAGTAAAAGGGTGTTGATATTTGTGGCTGAAAAAGATCATTTAAATGTAGTGGGAAGAAATTATTACCAGGAACTAAAAGAAAGTTGATGGAAAGGAAGTACAGAGATCTTGGAAAATGAAAGGGAAGACCATTGGTTTCATATGGAGAATCTCAGTAATGAGAAGGCTGTAACTCTTATCCAAAGATTTGTTTCTTTCATGAAAGAAGAATAACTTTTTGTTTGTAAACAAAAGTAATTGTTGAGATTTTTTTTTTTTTTTTTTTTTGGTTGAAGGGGCTGTCCGGGTTAGTTTACTCATACCTTAACTAATCTTTCGGGTCTGAAAGTTGATAGTCGAGTAAATCCCCTTAGTTGCCATCTCTTTTAGTAATCCAAGTGGATCGAACTCAGGACCTCTTGGATAATACACCCAAGAATCCTAGTTGACCGCTGGGCCACCTAATGGTGGTTATAATTTTTGAGATGTTGTAACCTAGGGTTGTTTTCATGAAAAGAACCAACGTTTTGAAAACCAGACCGGACTATGACTAGTTCAAGGGTCCGGTTTCCAGTTTGATCAGTTGGATTGGTCAGTTGGACGTAATTCTGCAAAATTTTTTTAGTCCCTGAAAGTTTTAAATTCATCAAAAATACCCCTATAATACTCCCTTAAGGTTTGAAATCTATCTAAAACACCCTTGTCACCCGAAGAGACTGGTGAGTGCTAGTGGTAGCGATGATCGACGGCTAATCGAAGTTGGAACCATGGAGCTTTTGATGTATAGGTGCCGGCAAATCTGATGATGGTGCTAAGGAGTTCCATCGGTGTCAGAACTTGCCAGAATCAACAAAAGAAATCCAACGGTTGCCTAAACTTTAGGTGGAAGGCGAGCGACGAAGGCTGGACGACGGCCACTGAAAATGGATGGGTTTGGTCATGAAGATGTTGTCACGTCAAATGGTGGTATTTTCTCCATCGAACGATGCCAGAATCCGACAGGATTGAGTTGCGATTGGACCGCGACTCGGCAGTATTTTGGCGGTCCAACTGCGGCTCAATTCGGTTTAATGGTAAATGTTGGTTTTTATGAGATACCAGACCGGAAATACCGTCAGCTCCCAGTTGAACCGGTCCGACTGGACGGTCCGGTCTGGTTTTCAGAACATTGAAAAGAACAATCTGGGTGAATACTCTTTACAAACACTTTGTTTCTTAATACTTCATTCCTTTACTCTGATAAACATCATATTGTTGCTACTAATCTTTTGATCCTAAAACCAATGTCCATATCAAAAGACCTGGTGTTATCACCAGAAACTGATTCGAACCCAGTGAGCTCCTCTGGAGATCTGCAGGGCGATAATTTTGTGTTTGGCAAAAAGGATTTGTTGAAAGGACAGGGGATGGCTGTATTATGAGAAGTTGGGAAGGAATTTAGATGGAGAGGTGTTGTGGAGATTATGGAAGTTTAAAGGAGAGGGCCATGGCTTTTATTTGATAAATCCCAATTGTGAAAATGGTGTCACTATGCTCAAACAAATTGTGTCTTTTATCAAAGAGTAAATGACTTTTTCCCACTCAAGGTTTGCCTTAATGACAATTTCCCACCCAAAGTTCATATTCTATAAATATCCAAAATCCACTTCACTTTCTTAGTTGACATTTAGCGAGTTACCAGGAGCTAGGGTGAGAGGGGTTTTGTAGAGTGGAGGCTGGTTGATCGAATAGTGATGACCGATTAAATATTCGTTGCCAGAATCAACCGGAAATCATCTAAGAACAGAAAACCCTCGCTTTACAATGGCTAGCAATTTGCAAGAAATCAGGTGCTAGAGTGAGAAGTGTTTTGTAGAGAGAAGATCGGAAATTGTGGTGACGGAGATAATTTTCAATGCCGAAATCAGCTTTGGGTAGTAACAGAATATAAACTGAGTAAGAAAATAGTATTTGAAACTTTTGCATTGGAAAAGTGTCATTAAGGCAAACCTCGGTGGGAAAAAGTCGTTTACTCTTTATCAAATTACAAACTATTTCTTAGATATGACCAGATCATCTTCTTATCAAAGTTTTAACCTGAAGAGATAAAGACTTGTAATAGGTAGAGGTGGCGATGGACCGTGTCGTGTCTAAAAATTCAAGGCCCATCGTGCCGTGCCAAGGCCCGCACAGTTTCGTGCCTTGTCGTGCCGTGTCGGCCCACAAAATTTGAAGGCCCACGACACGGCCCGTTATATATTATGCCATGCCTTGGGCCGTGCCATGGGCTGGCCACATGCTTTGTGAAAATATTTTATTTTAATATTTATAAATTATGGTAATTTTTATTTATTATTAATAATTATTATAAAAATATTTTATATGTTATATTTAGTTAAATTTTGTATTTATACTAATTAAAAATATATAATCACTATGAAATATAATAAAATAATGAGACATTGAAATATTAATTGAGTTTCAACACTTTTTATTACTTATAAGTTATAATTATAAATTACAAATACAAACTTAGAAATTAGGATTAAGAATTAGTATACATCTTCGTTTTCATTAATTTCTAAATTCTTAAAATCTTCAAATGTATCTTCAACAACACGATTTTGAAGCTTGAAATCTATCATCACCCAACCCAATCTTTCATGCACGTAATGGCTTCATCACCACGATCCTCCCAACCCCACCCCACCCCCCCGCCCCGGTTACCCCATTGCATAGGAGGGTAACAACTATTTTAAAAAATAGCTATTAATTTTATAATTATATTTTTTTCGTGTCATGCCGTGTCGGCCCACAGGCTATTTTTAAGGCCCATGGCACGCCCCGCATATTTTCATGCTGTGTTGTATCGTGCTTTTTTCGTGCATGGCTTACCGCCGGCTAAGGTAATGGGTTACTAATCGAAGATAAATTTTATTTTCCTTCTCCAATTCTTGTTGAAGACTATTCTCTTGAAGTAAATGTACTCAAAATATATCATTGAACAAAATAAATAATGGCTGGATTAGTTAACTGCACTTGGTATGAAAAATGTTGGGCTTGTCCTCGTCATATTAGTTATTCAATCCCCTTATTCATGTGATCAAAGTAATTTGTGATTTGAAGTTTCAACAGTAATAGTATTAATTTCCAAAGTAATATATAGTACTTATTGAAATTTATTCAATAGATTTTTGTTTTTTTTTAATGATCGGGGTATCGAACTAGTTTACATGTACTTCAACTAATTTCTCGGGACGCTAGAACTATCGTCAATATGAGCTTCAATGGTCATCTCTATTAGTAACTGTAGAGGCTCAAACTCAGAAGACCATATTAGATCTTTCTCTTACTCTTTTACTCTCAAAAGGATTCGAACTTAAAAGACTACATTAGATTCTCCACTTGAGAGACCATGTTACTTTAGTAGCATTTAAACATGTGGTTTTTGACTTTTTTCGATTGATTTTAAAGTCCAAAATCACTTCTGAAACTACTGTAGAACTCCTCACAACCTCCTCTATCAAACTCATACTTTTATTTACCAGCCTCATTCGTGGTTTTTGACCACTTTTAATACTCACTAACGGTATTGATTTAAGGATGAAAACCTGTAATAAATATAATCAAGATATCAATTTGAAATTTCGGTAAACCTCGGTACGGGTGGGAATACGTCGCTTACTCTTAATTTATAAAAGTAAAAGATGAAACTAAGACTTTGTTCATTCCCACAATCCCCACAATAAAATATAAAACGTTTTCTATTTCTTCATCAAACGACGAGACAAGAATCCTTTCCCATCTTACCATCGACTTGAACTGAAGCCCTCCATCAAACCTCTCCCTTCTGCTTCTTCAATGGCATCAAGCGATTCCGAAATCGTCAAGGAGTTTCGATTGTTCCGAGTGTACAAAGACGGTCGAGTTCAATTAAACTTTCCGCCCTTCGTCAAGGTCACGGTTCCACCGTCCGATGATCCCGTCACCGGTGTCCGATCCAAAGACGTTACGATCTCATCTGAACCTCCTGTGTCCGCCCGTATTTTCATCCCCAAACTCACAGACCCTAAACAAAAGTTCCCTCTTTTATTCTACGTGCACGGCGGTGGCTTCTGTATTTTGTCCGCCTTTGCTCCAGGTTACCATAGCTTCTGTAGCACCCTTTCAGCCGAGGCTGGGGCCATAGTTGTTTCTGTGGAGTACGGACTCTTCCCAGATCGACCCATACCGGCTTGTTACGAAGACTCATGGGCTGCACTCCAGTGGGTGGCGTCCCACGTTAGTGGAAGTGGACCTGAACCTTGGCTAAATGATCATGCTGATTTTGGCAAAGTTTTTATCGGTGGAGATAGTGCCGGAGGAAATATCTCGCATACTTTGGCGTTCCGGGTCAGTTCAATCGGGTTACCTGGAGTGAAAGTGGTTGGGGTGATCCTAATTCATCCTTATTTCGGTGGGACGGAAGACGATCAGATGTGGTTGTATATGAATCCAAGTAACAGCGGGTTGCAGGATCCCAGGCTGAAACCGCCGGCAGAGGATCTGGCTAAGCTCGGGTGCGAGAGGGTGTTGATATTTGTGGCGGAGAAAGATCATCTGATTGTTGTGGGGAAAAATTACCATGAAGATCTGAAGAAAAGCGGATGGGGTGGAAGAGCTGAGCTTGTGGAGAATCATGGTGAAGAGCACGCTTTCCATATGCGTAATCCCACATGTGAAAAGGCAGTGGAATTGACCAGTAAGATTGTTTCATTTATCAAAGAAGATTAGTGTAAATGTAGTTTGTTGGGTTATCTTCTTTGTGTAATAACTGGAGTGTGTCTTTTGACATTGATGAAATAAAATCCTTTTTTTTTTTTTACCGATGCTGATCTGGTAAACTTGTGCGTAACTTTAAAGTTGATAAATAATATTAATGATTTTCTATTAGTAATTTAAGTGGATCAAATTTAATATCTTTTGAATAATACACATAAAAGTTTTAGTTGACTGTTGAATCACTCAGTAATGGTTAAAATATTATATTTCAATATAATGTTAAAAAATGACAATCTAAATTGTCATGTTGCCTGAAATTAAATTATAATCAGTGGCTCGAGGAGTCACCCGTCCAAGGGGTCAGGTCCCGATTTGACCAGTTCAATCAGAGGGTCTAATCAGTGATCCAATAAGTTTGAAATCTAACAAACACATCCTTAATAAATACCTATAAGTCCCTATAAATTTAAAATCCAACAAACACACATTTGTAATTTGGCCAAATGCAAATTGACGGTCGACAGGTTGGGCTGCAACGACACACCATGGATAGCAGGGTTGGGATGTTGGGCTCGGGCATGGAGGGCATGCGACATAAGTGGCCGGCGGTCAGGGATTTTAAAACAATCCACAAGAGTAAGGAGAAGGCCCTGGTAGTAGTCCAATTGGTTGAACCGGCCGAGCCGGCCGGGTTTCAGAACACTAATTACAATCATTTGAAGTGGATTAAAAAACCAAGACTTGTGGATGTAGGTGTTGAAGGTTCGGTGATAACATTTTCTTCACACATACAAAACGATTTCTTCCTCTGCATTAAACGACAAGACTTCCCCATCTTATCAGTGAATTGCACTGAAGCATTTCGTCAAGGTAAATTCTCTATCTTCAATGGCATCAACCAGCTCCGAAATCGTCAAGGAGTTTCGCTTCTTCCGAGTTTATAAGGATGGCCGAATCGAGTTATTCTCCCCACCTTGCCCCAAGGTTCCACCGTCCGATGATCCCGTCACCGGTGTCCGATCCAAAGACGTGACGATCTCATCAGAACCTCCTGTTTCTGCCCGTATTTTCATCCCTAAAGTCTCAGACCCGAACCAAAAGTTCCCTCTCTTATTCTTAGTACATGGCGGTGGCTTCTGCGTGATGTCCGCTTTTGCTCCACGCTACCATCTCTTCTGTAACACCGTTTCAGCCCAAGCTGGGGCCATAATTGTTTCTGTGGAGTACGGACTCTTCCCGGATCGACCCATACCGGCTTGTTACGAAGACTCATGGGCTGCACTCCAGTGGGTGGCGTCCCACGTCAGTGGAAATGGACCCGAACCTTGGCTAAAAGATCATGCTGATTTCAACAAAGTTTTCATCAGTGGAGTCAGTGCTGGAGGTAACATTTCGCATACTTTGGCGTTCCGAGTCGGGTCAATGGGGTTACCGGGTGTGAAGGTTGTGGGGGTGATTTTGGTTCACCCATATTTTGGTGGGACGGGAGACGATGAGATGTGGCTGTTCATGTGTCCAAATAATGGTGGGTTGCAGGATCCCAGGCTGAAACCGCCGGCAGAGGATCTGGCTAAGCTCGGGTGCGAGAGGGTGTTGATATTTGTGGCGGAGAAAGATCATCTGAATGTTGTGGGGAAAAATTACCATGAAGATTTGAAGAAAAGTGGATGGGGCGGAAGAGTTGAGCTATTTGAGAGTCATGGTGAAGAGCACGTCTTCCATATGGATAATCCAAAATCTGAGAAGGCTGTGGAAGTAACCAATAAGTTTGTTTCATTTCTGAAACAAGATTAAAGTAATAATTAGTCCGATAGTTTACATAAGGGTTGCCGTTTGCAAGAGCTAAATTGTGTCTGTGACATTGATGAAATAGGATGTATGTATGGATTTGGAATAAAACGGTATCGTACTTTTCATTTTGATGATAAATGGTTTCCTTGATTGGGAGAATATAAATCTTCGTTTCAATTGCCTTTTTTCTGTATTTTCTCAATACATTCTAAAAATTTTAAATTATCATTTTACATTGAATTGATAGCTCAATTGAGAGGGCCAGAGGTAATGCCGAAAGTTAAATGTTTTCTCAATCCCAATCAAGATGTGAATAAGAATTAGATTTCAGGTAAGGTTTTCAAGACAAAATTCTGATAAAAACCTATTAAATATATGAGAAGAATGTTGTATCTACTTGAATTTTCAATCTTTTACTGGAACAAGTTTGTGAACATGGCCCGACTTGATCCATTTTGCATTACCTTCGGGATAGTTGAGTGGTTCGATAGAGGTTTTTAAGTGTATTATTCAAGAGTTTTTAAGTTCGTGTCCTTTATCGGTTCCTAATTGGGTTATCACTTGAACCCCACCCAAACTCACAAACCCTAATAACCACCACAAGTTCCCTCTCTTATTCTACATTCACGGCGGTGGCTTCTCCATGATGTCAGCCTTTTCTCCACACTACCATAACTTCTGCAGCAGCGTTTCAGCTCAAGCTGGCGTCATAGTGGTCTCCGTCGAGTATGGACTCTTCCCGAAGCGACGCTTGCCCGCTTGTTATGTAGACTCATGGGCTGCGCTTCAATGGGTGGCGTCTCACGTTGGTGGAAATCGACCGCGTTAAGATTTTCATAATATTGTGTAAATATTTTGTAATCAGGTAAATATTATGTAATCTTTTAGTTATGTCAGACAAAATATTGTGTAATCTACAATTGACATAATTAGGGGATTTAGGAGATCGTATACTTCCTATATAAAGGATGTAACTCCTCAATGATAAATAAAATGAATTGAAAATATACAATTCTTCAATTAAATATGGTATCAGAGCTATTCTCTGATCTAACAGAAAATTCACTGGCAAATAACTATTCATCCAGTTGTCGTCAATCCAAGAAGGAGAAAACCACCTCAACCAATCAAACCAAACCACCGTTGATATCTCATTTAAACCATCCTATTCCATTCCAGAAACAACTGACTGATTTGCCCAGTTTTTGCCAAGAAGCCGACACCAACCAACTCTAGAAAAAATGTAGCCATCAAATCCCCCAAGTTACCAACAACCAATCATCCTTATTGGTCAACTCCACCAATCCACTCAACTCCACCAATACTTATCAGTCACCGTAAACCACCATCACAAAACAACAAAAGAAAACCAAAAAATAGCCACCTCCAACCATTTTGCGAATTTACCCAAGTCACCAAGTTCCTAAACACCCTTATTTTCAACTATCGCAACTTCTACCAAATCAAGAACCAACAGCCTTTTTTTTTTTTTTTCAACCACAAACACCCAACTGCCCAGAGAAAAAAAAAAAAAAATCAAAACCCCACCAACTTTGGCCACTGCCAACAACCAAAATACAAAGAAAAAAAAAAAAAACCTGAACTCCAAACAAAGTCGATGCAATTCCAGTCACCTTTAGCCAATTGTCTGATAAACAATCCAGTTTTCGCTAGTTGATCCCGATCGTCGATCTGCATAGTTTCCGCTAGTTGATCTGCTGCTATTGCCGTCTACTACCCATCTGCTATTGTCGTCCACCGTCGATCTGCTGCCATCGAAACGAATGTCATCGATTTGACGGCTGCTGCTGAGATAAGTCACCAATTTTTTTTTTACCGTGAGTTTGCTTTTCTTTTATTTTCTACGAACTTTTGTTTTTTTTATTTTGTAAAAAAAAAAGAAGTCAAAAAAAAAATTGTCAAAAAAAGTCAAAAAAGTAAAAGGTCAAATAGTTAAAAAAAGGGTCAAATAGTTCAAAAAACAGAGTCAAGGTCAACAAAGTAACAAAAAAAAAAAAAAAAACAACAGGGGAGGATGTGTGGAGAAATTCTATGAAACCCGGGTCTAAATTTGGAAGCAAGTTACTCAGAGACGACTAAACCTGGCATGCTCAATAACGACAAAATGAAAAGTTCTACTAATGTTGTTGTGGAAAAGAAAGCAGATGTCCAACAATCTTCATCATTTGTAGCTACTACTGGAAATGATGGTAAGTCTTTAAATATGTGTACATTTGTTTCTAATAGTGCATGGATAATTGATTCTGGTGCTATCGATCATATGACATTTGATTCTAGGCATGTGTTTAACCTTAAGTCATCCTCACAAAACTTTGTTTCTACTACCAATGGTGAATCTAACCGGGTCATTGGGGAAGGTTCATTAACCCTAAAAAACTCTTTATACTTAGATTCTGTCTTAGTTGTCCCATCCCTAAATTATAACTTGTTGTCAGTCTCCAAAATAACCAAAAGCTTATCTTGTGTGGTGATTTTTTGGCCTGAATTTTGTGAGTTTAAAAATATTCAAACAAAGCAGACGATTTATTGTGGTATTAGACGGGGGCAATTGTATTACTTGGATTTAGAGTCACAAAGTTCTACCGTGTTACAACAGGCTTTGACTGTAGATTACTCTAAAAGGGATAAACAAAAACCCAACATTTGGTTATGGCATTGGTGCCTCGAACATGCTTCGTTCGGCTATCTAAAGAAACTTTTTCCAAGTTTGTTTGGAAAAAAATGATATCAGTAACTTCCGTTGTGATGTTTGTGAACTATCAAAAAGCCATCGAGTCCCATTTCCAGCAGCAATCAACAAAAGTCCAAGTCCTTTTATGCTTATACATTCAGATGTCTAGGGGCCATCACCAGTTACTACTTTAGGTGGATCTCATTGGTTTGTTACTTTTATTGATGACTGTACGAGAATGACTTGGGTATGTCTAATGAAATCTAAAGGGGAGGTTAATTTACTCTTTCAGAGATTTCACAAAATGGTTCGTACGCAGTATAATGCACAGGTTCAGATCCTTCGAAGTGAAAATGGAGGAGAATATCAAAGTTCATATCTTCAACAGTACTTAGCAACACATGGTATCATTCATCAGACTACTTGTCCCAACACACCCCAACAAAATGGTGTTGCTGAGGGAAAAAATCGGCACTTATTGGAGGTCGTTCGTGCCTCATTA